GTTTCATTTAGATAGCTTCAAAACTGAGAGACTAGTTTGCGTAGAAACGGACAGACGGACAGACGGACAGACGGACAGACGGACAGACGGACATGGCTAGATCGACTCGGCTGTTGATCCTGATCAAGAATATATATACTTTAAATGGTCGGAGGTGCCTCCTTCACTGCGTTGCAAACTTCTGACTGAAATTATAATACCCAGCAAGGGTATAAAAACATGGGATTACCGTTTAAAATTAGCAGAGCTTACTGCCGACGTTGTTGTATTTTATTTATTATTATTATTTATGTTTTTTTGTTTTTTGTTGCTGCCTCTGGGTGCGTGAGTAGCGAGCTTTTTACTGGTTTTATTCTTTTACTTTTGCAGCAAACATGCACGCACACACACCGGAAATGATTGGGTTGTATCGAATTGGTTCGATTACAATTGGTTTTTGATTTTCGATATTCGATTTCTGGTTCGTTTGATTGACTTCGATTTCGAGACCGTTAGACTTAGACGTCGGCCGTAGATGTTTGATGCCCGAATGCGCGTACGCGACTTCTGGCGCTACTATATATATGCCTATACTCGTAGAAATTGGCTAAGCTCGGTCACACACACACAGACACACACACACACACCCTGACACACACACACACTCTTGGAGGGGCGCACAATCTAGTTTATTTGCACGGTTGTTTGAACTCGGCAGTCCGACGAACTAACTGTGTGTTTTGTGTTTGCCCGCGGTTATATATTCCGTTCTGATCACGATCACTTCGACCGTCAGTCGCCGGTGGCTGCAGAATCTGAACTGGAAGCCCGGGGAATCCGAACAAAATCTGCCTCGGATTTGGGTCTCCGGATCGGACTGATGAGCGCGAACTGAGACCCCGAAAAAAAGCCCCCACAGCTTTGGTTTATCACATCCCTTTGAGTGTCCCCCGAGCCGTAGAGTCTCTGATTCCAAGTCCGAGCTTCAGATTGGCATAAAACCTTAGTAAGCTCAAAAAGCAATAACTTTTATATAGAATTTAAAAATTTTCCCATCAAAATGCTTCTTGATATCTCTGAAATTTTCCAGCTAATGTGAAATTTTTGGAAATATTTCCCATCAAAACTTGAGGTGGAAAATACTTTGAAATGATCAGAGCTGGGGAAAGCTTGTCTTTAGCGATACTTTCGATATATGCAAGCTTTTCTCTGCCTTAAACTACAGTCTCTAAGCCATACAAAAGGCTTTCCTATATAGAAAGTATTATACTTAATACATTTTCAAAGCATCAACATTTTCTTATTAATATAAATACAAATATAACATTCCTTCAAAAAAAAAAAGCTTATAAAAAAGTTTGACTTTATAATAAGCCATTGATTGAGCTTGTTTTCTATCAGGTTTTCCCTGATCAGTTATGAATAAATTTGAAAGTGATACATTTGCGTCAACAATCTTATAAATGCAATATTATCAATTCTACGATAAAACGTCACTAAAATCAATAGAATTAAATTAATATTAATATTATTCAGTGTGAGAATTAGTTCAGAGTGTCTGGAAAATACTTAAAAATCCAATTTGCGCATCAATATTGGCAAAATCTCATGAGAAAAGCATCAGTCAACATTATTTTCCAATCAGTTTATAATTGCTTTCAGGCATCGCGTAACCAATTCGAATGCGAACTTAAATTTGAAATAATTCGCACTTAATAAACTCATAAAAAACATTGCAAGTGCAAATCTATAAATATTCAATTACGCCTGGGAACTGGATAGCTTACTCTAAATCATGGAGAGTTCATACTTTCCCCTCTCATATCGAACTCTTAATTTATTCGCGAATATTTTTAGATAAGAAAAATTAAATATTAAGATTTCCTTGTTAAGAAATAAATTCAATAAGCTACGTTTTGACAGTTGAAAGATTTATCATGCAATTGAAATGAATTTCCCAGACATTCGGTATATAAAATACAAGCAATCCGCACTCTGTGAGCGTGATTTTTTATTTGATTAGATTTCCACGGATGTTTATGGGTCTATAGTGATTTTCTTTGTATGATTATCACAGATCAGGCGTCACAGATATATTTCCTTAATTCTAATGTCTATTTATGGTTCAACCTTGAAAACGCTATTGAGCGATTATTTTGCCAAAATAAACTGAAGTGCCTGGTGTCTGGGTCTTTATCTCTATCTCATTATTTTATCAGTGGGAAAATTGAAATAACCAGGGAAAGTTGCCATAAGTTTGCCACGAGAGTTCGTTAATTGGTAATTTCATTCATAAAATAATATTTAAATTAGTTACAACCAATAATTAGTAGTAATATGAATAATATATTAATTTTAAGAGGAATATGGTAGTTTTGATGTTTATTCTTTTAATACAAAGCTATAAATTATTATTTACATTTATTGCATCATAAGTTATACATTTTATTGGGTAAACAGAATATTCAAAGATGTTTACAAAGGAAGTTGCTCTATAAAATACTTCATTATTTCACAATTCACACATTTCTATGGAAAAATAACCACTATTAAGTATAATCTTTTGATTCTTGTTAGAAATTGCCTAACTATAGGTTTATCTTACCTATGTCCAGATAGCCACTATCAAATTGGTAATACAATTGAGAAACTTTGGGAGCCTACTGATACGTTTTTAAAGCCGGTCACGATATAACTAACCTACCACAAAAATCAACTAGATCCAACTAGAGATATTTTTCGCAGAAATTCGCTTTTGCTTTTTATATTTTGTATATATTTTTAAAATCCGAAATATTCCAATGTCAACAGAGCCAGGTCAGAGCTATGCAAATGACCAGCGTCTAATATCATCGAAAAATCCACCAAGTCACTGGATTATTTATTAATTTTATTAATTAGTCCAAGCAATATTTACATATGTGTCTCTTGAATGCGTCTCCGCTTCGAACTCGTGTTGATCACAGACTGAACTGATTCGTTGCCAAATATTTGGACCTTTCGTCAGGCGTCCAACTCGACGGCATAGCGTTATCGCCGCCAAAACTGATAAGGTCCGATCCGAAAGGAAGGTATTATTATGGGTCCATTCCACTCCCTCGAGCTCGAGCTGTTTGACTAGCCTCTATTTCACTTCGGTAGTTTAACGATTAGAATTTAATGTAAATATCGCTCGAAAACGGGCTTTTCTTGCGTATTTTTCCGCCATTATCGCATAATCTTTTCGATTCGCCTTCTCAGCCATTAATGTCAGATGCCTGAAAAGACTGCTATCGGAGGAGGGCATTGCGAAAACACAGACATAAAGGCCAATCAGGCGGCGTTGCCGGGTCGTAAAGATCGAACAATGACTGCCTCGGCTCTACGATGCTAAGATTCTTCGATTCTACAATTCTTCGGGTCTAAGATTCTTTAATTCTACGATTTCTACAAGTGTGCGCCGCGTCCTAAGGGGTTTCGTTTTTCATGCGACTTAAATCGCGTGCAAGTCGCTAGCGTTTTTGGTTGCCTTGGATTTTTCTTATAATTAAAATTGAACCCTTTTCTTAGGGATTAAAAGCAATATTTATAGTTTATTGTAAATATCATAAAGTTAAAAGTTAAAAGTAATACAAATTATAATTAAAAGGAATTTGTATATAATGAATTCATTTGTCTTTCGTAGAACACTTTAAATGTTATTTTCATTCTTTTTATAATGAAAAACGAAATGGAAAACTTACTAATAAATAAACTCTTTTTGTTTTTGGAATTTTGGAAATTTGAATTATGTGTTCATAAACATTTTGAGATTAATCCGTTGACCATCTATTTTCTAATCATTATTGTAAATGTGCATTCTCTATTAAATCCCACTAATATTAGTAATTTCTAGTTTTGTAAAATGCGCAACAAAATTGTAATCTTTTCTTGAAAGTTAATATCAATGAGTCTCAATACTTTCAATTGTAAACACAGCGAATGTTTGTAAAATATTATAGACAAAAGAACGCTATAAAATAAATTGTTAACAAACACAAGAATATCCTAAAAGTAAGCCACAATATACTTTCTAAAAGGGCAATAAGTATGCTGTAAAAATTAAAAAAAAAAAAAACAACAAAATATTATTTCTGAGTAAAAAGATAAACTATAATAACTGTAAAATTTTTATCATCAAGTATTATTATTAAATACTCGTTGAAAATCATTATTTGATGAGAATTTAGAAAAGTATATATTTAAAGCATATTAATAATATAATAATATTATACCCTTGCAGGGTATTTTAATTTTAATTAGAAGTTTGCGACACTATGGAGGATATATATTCTTGATCAGCATAAACAGCCAAGTCGATCCGTTTCTATGCAAACTAATCTCTTAATTTTGAAGCTATCTAATTGAAACTTTGTCAGCAGTTTGTCTTCTATATATGTACTCTCACTAGTATATAAGTCGAAACAGGCCGGATCGAACAAATATATTCTATATATTCCATTGGAACGATCGGAAAAATTTTAGAAATAAATTATAACTTTTCCATTTTTCAACATATTTTCATATAATAAAATGAATATAATTTGTGGTGTTTTATAATTTCGGTTTTAATTTTATTAATATCGGACGACTATATTATATATCTGCCATTAAATCGATCGTAATATGTAGATGAAAATGCTAAACTCCCTCTCTTTCTCTCCCTTTCTCTCTGTGTCTCTAGAGATACTCCTTTCCCTCTATTTCATTCTGACTATCTCTTACTCTCTCGCTCTCCCTTTCTCTGCTCTCTTTGCTCCTAGAGTATAAATACAGCCGCTGGTGCCGCTCTGGCCTCATTTTGGTGCAGACTTCCGACTGGATAACATCTGAAGTGAAAGTGGTTGTGATAGTAAGTGCCCTTCGACCTGTGGCTTAGTTAAGGTCGATTTAATATTCGAAGCCATGACACTATAAATGTAACTGCAAGGGTATACAAGCATTGCCTTCTCGAGGTTAGTTTCTTTTCTTGTTTTTATCATAACAACTGAATACTTTTTAATATAAAAAAACCTTAATTTATTGTTTCCAGCTACAAGTAAAATATGTTACTATAACTAAGCTCTGGCGGACTTGCGTTCCTGGCCCACACTCTTCTTGAACACCTCCGCTAGCTTAAACTTCTGGATCTTGCCAGAGGTGGTCTTGGGGAATGTTTCGACGGTGATCACATGCCTGGGAATCTTAAAGTGGGCCAGCTTGCCTTTACTGTACGCCTTTAAGGACTCCGCGGTAAAGGAAGAGGGATCAACTCCCTCATGCAGTCGCACAAAGACGCAAACCTCTTCGCCTAGTCGCTCATCTGGAACACCGATCACCTGGAAACGTATGGTAATTAGATACTTTCGATTTATATATAGTCCCTAAAAAATACCCACATGAGCTTCGATAACCTGCGGATGAGCATTCACGAAATCTTCAATCTCTTTGGGGAATATGTTCTCGCCGCCCCGGATGATCATCTCCTTGAGCCGGCCCACGATCCGTCCATATCCATTTTCCTCCAGGATGAACTGATCCCCGGTGCGTAGCCATTGATCCACGCCAATCGTTTCCCGGGTCTTCTCCACATCTCCGTGGTAGCCCAACATGGTGGTGTATCCACGAACACACAGCTCCCCGGGTTGGCCAAACGGAACACACCTGCCCTCGGCATCTACCACCTTGGCTTCGATGTGATCCTGCAGATGACCCACCGAGTTCAGCACAATATCGTCACTATCGCCAGGCAGGGATTGGAAAATGACTGCCGTGGTCTCCGTTAAACCGTATACACTGTGCACTGTTTCCACGTTAAGGACTTGGCGCACATCCTTGATGAGTTGTGGAGACACAATGGCTCCTCCTGTTATGGCCTTCTTGATCCTGCCGAGGGGCACCTGAAGCTTCCGTTGAGTGTTGACCAGATCCACGTACATAGTGGGAGTGCCATGGATAACAGAACACTTTTCCTTGACAATTGCTTGCAGAGAATCCTTGGGACTGAAGCCAGCGGCCGGAAGTACCAAGGTGGCGCCCTTGGTCAGCCCCGCCATGATGGTGATAACTACGCCAAAGGCATGGAACAATGGCACCTGGACGCAAATCTTCTCACCCTCCAGTTGATTCCTATTGCCCACATGGATGCCGTTGTTCACAAAGTTGTTATGGGAGAGACATGCCGCCTTGGGATTTCCGGTGGTGCCCGACGTGAACTGAATGTTGCACGGGGATTCGGGCAGGATATCCTTTTGGATCTTGGCCACTTCCTCGCGCTCCGATTTGCTGGCCATGTCCAGGAGATCATCAAAGCGGATGGCACCCTTCAGGGCATCGCTACTGTCAATGATCACGGATTGGAGATGAGGGAACTTTTCGCTGCGAATCTTGCCGTTATCCGCATCCGCCAGCTCCGGACAGATGCTCCTCAAGATCTCGTAATAGTTTTGAGTCTTAAAGGTTTCCGGTGCAACGATGGCCTTCACATTGACCTTGTTTAGGCAGTAGGCCACCTCGGGTCCCTGGAAGGCCGGATTGATGCCCACCGAGGTGAGACCCGCTCGGGCTGCTCCCATCATGCCCAGGTACCAGTGCATGTAGTTGGGTGCCCACAGACCCACAGCGTCGCCTCTCTGTAAGCCCAGCTTGCGGAAACCCGCCGCCAAAGCATCCGCCTCCTGGATCAGACTCCGGAAGGTGTAACGCTTGCCCTCGTGACAGGAGACAATGGCTTCCGTGTCTCCAAATTCCGCTGCTGAGAGCTCCAACTGGTTGCCAATGGTACGATAGATCAGGGATTCTTTGCCCACATGGTGTCTATGACTGATCAGGATGGGCATCGACGTGGAGATACTGCGACGAAAGTAAGTGATTAATTTTATTATAATATCGATTTATATCCACTTTATTCAAAGCTTATTTTAAATAATATTTGTTGGATTGAGGGTATGATGATTGTTATTATGTTGTGGATTCAACCTAAGCTGGGTTTTAAATATTCAAAGCTTTGCTAAAATTTAATTAGTCTTCAACCAGCTTAAGGTGATTAGTCTGCGGCGAGATTTGATATAAGAAAGACGTGTTTTTCGAGTGCCCTAAATAAACTATTCGGAATATTTATAAAAATAATCAATAGTGAAAAAGCTATTCTTTTATTACTACAAATATTAAGAAAATGTATTAAATTTGAATTCGAATTCAGAAATATTAAAAAAACAATTAAAGATGTTGAAAATAATGTATGAACTTGTTCTATTTCCAAAATCATTACTTATCGCAAATTATCTTTTCTATATTTTTTCCATAAAAAATAATCTCCTGATTCTTGACTTAATTAGTTATTTTATACATGAGTCTACATAACCTTGAGCCTAATCAAAGAGAGATATTGAAATGACAAAAAACAAGTACCCAAAAACACTCACAAAAAAATCATTTAATATCATTCAAGACCCAATAATAATATTAACAGGTTTTAATTACGACTGACTTATCGGTTTTTCCCTGTGCAATTAAAGAAGCTAAAATTATTTAAAATTGTCTAGTACATTTGCTATACTTTTTAAAATTTTAAAACTTACAAAATGAATGTAATAGAAATGAAAATTTATTTTTTTAAATTATATATATTTGAATTATCTAAATTCATTCTGTGGTATTAATCCAAGAACTATAAATTATTTTCCTACAATTTTGACTAAGTGTCAAAAATGAAAATGTACCCAATTGAGGTTTGCTCTTTTGCTGCTTAGGTTTATATTTTCGCTAAGTGTGAAAGCTTTTGATAAATGCAAAAAGCTTTAAAAAATGATAATAAAATTGTGTGCTTATATATGTTTGTACATATGTATGTTCTTATCAGTATACTTATATTACCGGCGACAGACTGTGCTTCCGATTTCTAAGCGTGCCCTAAGACTTATCAAAGCGGACTTTAGGCGCGTGCCGGTAAATATTATAAAAATACATATGTACATATGAATAAAATAATTAACACCTTGTAATTACAGGTCGCCCATTAAAGTTTCTTTTAATTTAACAAGGATTTATATGGAATAATGTATATATAAAACCTGTTGAATGGTAAGCATGAATTATTATTATCTGTTGACTTAACACTTGACTTTGCTGGCTGCCATAAAATTATCAAGCGAGTGGAAAATTCTTAAAGCGTTTTAACTTATCTCTTGAAAGTCATCAAAATTAATACACGATAATTAAATATTGCCCCAAAAATAGACACAGCCTCAGAGCAACCAAGCCCCCCTTAAGCCGGGTTTAATTTAATTTATACAGATATATATATGTATGTTATATTTAATCTAAATTATGCTGCGACTGTACCCGCCTCCATCTGGAATCTAAATTGTTACGCAATTCAACACCCAGAATTCCGAGGGGGATAGAGGGGGGGATTTATAGCACACACCCTAAGCTAAAAGAAAAATTAAATGCTGCGCAATTTGCAAGTGGAATATTTTCTCCCTATTACCTTATTGTAGATAACAGATAAAATTACAGAAATGACCTTGAGGTTGAGATAGATATCCTTAAAGGATACCTGCTTACCTGCGCATGGATTTGAACGCACAGCGTTGCCTGAGCAAATGCTTGGAAAAAATCTGCAGCTTCCGGTTCATCTTTAATGATTATATATCACAGTCTTTTCACTTGATCTTATATGTATATTAAATCTTGTATATTAAGTGCTCATAATATGCACTTGCACAGGTTCTTAATTAATTTAAATGTTAATTTTAATGTTTTTGACGAACGTCCGCAGCCCGCCAAGTTCTGATACCAACTGAACGGGGAGGTTTTTTTTTCATTCGCCGCCGCTGCCGGCTTCTCTATCTTTGCTTTTGCTTTTGTATTGTTTATTGTTTTTTCTTTTTTTTCTAATACCTAGACACGATCTTTGTCAGAGTTTGTTTTGCTTTGTGTTTTAACAGTTTTATTTTGTTTGCCTTTTTCTAATTTCTATTTTTCTTTTTGCTCTGTCTCTCCCTTTGCATTAGCCAGCACGTGTTAGTTGTTGGGTTTTCGTTAGTATTTGTGTTTATATTTTTTGTTGCTCGTCTAGTTAAGATTCGGATCGCGCAGCTTTTTGGGGGTGACCAGAGGCTAAGATAAGGGGTTTTGTTCAGGGATATAAATAAATCATTTATATATACTATCTTTATCAGTGTTTAGATTTTGTGTTAGCTAAAGCCCTTCATAAAACGAGGTGTGTTAATCAGTTTTATAGATACAAAATCACTGAAAATATTTGAACAGTATTTTATGAACATTTTAAAATGTATTTCTCATATCTGTCATATATATATTTTACTTAATTTATATTTTAATAGTTCAGAAAATAACAAATACCATAAAATAGAAATATATATATAAAATATTTATCTTATTTAATTTATAAAAATTTAGTTATTTTCTTAAACCCCTTGCTAAAATATTTTGCCACGCCTCTGATAATGTTTGAAGCTTTTTCATTGTGGCGTGATTCTCAGGTTTATGATCTCGCAGTGAAGTGTATTCTCGCCTTTATAGTTTTCCCAGCTGTAGAAAAGCGATTTGGTTGAAAACGTTTTTATAATAATAATAATAATAATAATAAATAATAATAATTAATTTTTCAAAGCACTTGACAGCTGTGTAATACGATAGTGTGGAATTCATTGATAAGGTTCTAGTACTCACTGATAGTCATTATACTCTTGCAGAGTATTATAATTTTAGTTAGAAGCCTGTAACGCTGTGAAGGAATCATTGCAGACCCTATAAATCATATATATTCTTGATCAGGGTGAACAGGGATGATCTGGTCTAGGTGATGTCTGGTTGAAAATAAAAATTTTCCATTTCTTCAAAAAAAGATAAGGCGTCTTTAAAATTTTAAAATTTTGCAATAATTTTTAATTTCCTTAATTTTTATGCAGAGTAAATAACCTAGTAAAAACAAACATTTGGCAGCTTTAGGAATTGAAATGAAATATGTTTTGGCTTAGTTATGCGTTTTTTAAACTTTGATTAATAAAAAAAATGGTCATACAAATTATCAATTAAACGAATGCGAATATTTTATAAGTCAATTGCAAACTGCAGGGGTATATAAACTTCGGCTTGCCGAAGTTAGTTTCCTTTGTTGTTTACAATGACTTGCCGCCTCTGGTAAACACATTCAAGTGGTTAGTGATTGTTTATAGTCATTGGAAAAGGGTCATCGAAGTTATTTTAAAGGATAAGTAATTTACAGACAATATTGCTTATTACTTAGGTTTCCACCTTGAAGTGTATTTTTAGAACTAATTAGTCCGGTATATGTCTTAACCAAGGGGTCTTGCGATTACCTGTTTGTGTCTGCTTTCTGTGTTGATTTTTATCAAGAAGTTTAAGAACTTAACTGATTAGAGAGAAATCTCCTTATGATAAGAAAAGCTATTGAATCATTGACTTTCAGGCATCCCTGATAAGTTGGCAGACATAATTGTTATCAACATATTTACGTTTCTTATCAAAACCCGCAATAGGCAGAGAAATAAATAGTAGGTGAATACAAAAACACTCCTTAATTTCTTAGGTTCAGCTTAAAATTATAGTTTTTTTCGAGTGTATTGTTTATATTGTTCCGTTAATTTTTAAACATTGTAAGGGGTTGATTTTAATGTCTTAAAATTTTTATAAATAAAAAACTGAATGCAGAAGCGGGTCACCTTAGGAAGAAATTAAAAATCACTGGAGAGAGATTTCGGTGTCCTTTGAGATTTCCACTTAAATTTAGGATAGATTTTCCCGAACTCAATTAGGTTTTCCCATTTAGCTAATTCTAACAATTACAGTTTTAAATTCACCGTTTGGAATTTTTCTTTATTTTTAACGATCGTTTGTATGGTAGCTAAATATTTAATAGTAGTATTTGTACATTATTGTACAAGAAGTTTTAGATTTATATATAATGGTATATATTTATTTAATTTGATGAAAATCTGTTGAAATATGTAAAAGTTATAAATTCTTAAATTTTTACGATCACTCTTAAGGTAGCTATAAATATGTATATATATAGTCCACCGATTTGCCATACTCCGATTTATATACTAGTAAAATATATAGATAAATAACTTCATAGTTTCATTCAAATAGCTTCCTTTTGAATTTGTTCCAAAACAAATCTCGCACATCTGTGCATATGATTCCCAACTTGTTTTAACAACCCCGGAACAAAGTGACTTCTGCCGGCCACGTCTAAGAATAGTGTTGTGTTACAAAAGTTGCAACTCATTGTTTACTAGTGTTAAAAGTTATTAACTGATCATACATACTTACTGGTAATAGATACTTATTGATCATACTTACTTACTGGTCATAAATACTTACTGTTCAGATTTAATTACTGATCATAGTTAATTACTGGTCATAACTAATTACTGATCATAGTTCTATAAATCGTCCGATTGTTCCTATGTCAGCCATATATATGTACATATATAGTCCACCAATTTGCCATGCTCCAACTTATATACTAGTAAAATTATATAGATGAATAACTTTATAGTTTCATTCAAATAGCTTCCTGTTAAAGTTGTTCCAAAACACATCTCGCATATCTGTGCTTATGATTCTCAACTTGTTCTAACATCCCCGGAACGAAGTGACTTCTGCCGGCCAAGTCTTAGAAATGTGTTGTGTTACAAAAGTTGCAAGTCATTGTTTACTAGTGTAAAAGTTAGTAACTGATCATACATACTTATTGGTAATAGATACTTATTGATCATACTTACTTACTGGTCATAGATACTTACTGTTCAGAGTTATTTACTGATCAAAGTTAATCACTGGTCATAGATGCCTAATTTTCAGATTTAATTACTGATCATAGTTAATTACTGGTCATAACTATTTACTGATCATAGTTCTATAAATCGTCCGATTGTTCCTATGTCAGCTATATATATGTACATATATAGTCCACCGATTTGCCATGCTCCAACTTATATACTAGTAAAATTATATAGATAAATAACTTCATAGTTTCATTCAAATAGCTTCCTGTTAAATTTGTTCCAAAACACATCTCGCATATCTGTGCTTATGATTCTCAACTTTTCTAACATCCCCGGAACGAAGTGACTTCTGCCGGCCAAGTCTTAGAAATGTGTTGTGTTACAAAAGTTGCAAGTCATTGTTTACTAGTGTAAAAGTTAGTAACTGATCATACATACTTATTGGTAATAGATACTTATTGATCATACTTACTTACTGGTCATATATACTTACTGTTCAGAGTTATTTACTGATCAAAGTTAATCACTGGTCATAGATGCCTAATTTTCAGATTTAATTACTGATCATAGTTAATTACTGGTCATAACTATTTACTGATCATAGTTCTATAAATCGTCCGATTGTTCCTATGTCAGCTATATATATGTACATATATAGTCCACCGATTTGCCATGCTCCAACTTATATACTAGTAAAATTATATAGATAATAACTTATAGTTCATTCAAATAGCTTCCTGTTAAATTGTTCCAAAACACATCTCGCATATCTGTGCTTATGATTCTAACTTGTTCTAACATCCCCGGAACGAAGTGACTTCTGCCGGCCAAGTCTTAGAAATGTGTTGTGTTACAAAAGTTGCAAGTCATTGTTTACTAGTGTAAAAGTTAGTAACTGATCATACATACTTATTGGTATAGATACTTATTGATCATACTTACTTACTGGTCATAGATACTTACTGTTCAGAGTTATTTACTGATCAAAGTTAATCACTGGTCATAGATGCCTAATTTTCAGATTTAATTACTGATCATAGTTAATTACTGGTCATAACTATTTACTGATCATAGTTCTATAAATCGTCCGATTGTTCCTATGTCAGCTATATATATGTACATATATAGTCCACCGATTTGCCATGCTCCAACTTATATACTAGTAAAATTATATAAATAAATAACTTCATAGTTTCATTCAAATAGCTTTCTCTTGAATTTGTTCCAAAACAAATCTCGCACATCTGTGTTTATGATTCTCAACTAGTTCTAACATCCCCGGAACGAAGTGACTTCTGCCGGCCAAGTCTCAGGAATGTGTTGTGATACAAAAGTTGCAAGTCATTGTTTACTAGTGTTAAAAGTTAGTAACTGATAATAGATACTTATTGATCATACTTACTAACTGGTCATAGATACTTACTGTTCAGAGTTAATTACTGATCAAAGTTAATCACTGGTCATAAATACTTACTGTTCAGAGTTAATTACTGATCATAGTTATTTACTAATCATACGTACTTACTGGTCATAGGTAGTTACTGAACAAAGTTACTAAATGTTTTTTATACTTACTGATCATAGTTACTTACTTACACAAAGTTTATCTCAATGAAACGTTGTGAAAAACTAGAAATTAACTCTAACCTTTCATATACATTTCTCTCTCCCGAATGCACTTACCTATTTAGATTTGAATCTCTTACAATTTCAAATTAAATATGTTACAAAATATACTGTACTAAGGGAGTAGTGTAATTATTTGACTGAACAAATGTAATACCAAGATAACAATTATATTTAATTATACCATTACATTTATATACATTTGGGATTTCCACAACTAATCATTTCCATCTTTACATTTTCCACAGCCACTGAACGACGAAAAGAGGGAAATCCCAACGAAACCTCAGATTTTGGCGCGAAAACTCTACTTGGGATTGGGGATTCAACAATTGTAAACAAACGCTTGCGCGGATTGCTCCTTTGGCTCTTTCACGCGGTAGCGTCTTCGTCCTTCGACATTTTGGGAGCTTCGTCGTGTTGCCACGCTACCAACAACCGAGTGGCAGGCCGAGTTTTCCTTGGGAAAACGGAAAAACTCTGAAGCTCTGAAACAACTACTGAAAACTGGCTGGTAAGCAAATCAGAAACTCGCAGACGCTCGTGGCAAACGGTTGTGCTTTGTTGTGGCTACCAAAAAAAAAAGAAAAGAAATCCAGAAGGGGACTCTTTTGGCCAAAATATATATATACAAATATATATATAAGTATAAACAGGGAAGAAAAAGGGGGCACTGCCGTTAACGCACACGCAACCAAAGCCATAAAGGGGCTAAACATATAAATTTGTGTAGTAAAAGTGAAGAAAGCGAAAGAATCAAAGTGGAATAATAGCAAGCGGATGTGTTGGAGCAATTTTCTGTGTGTGTTCGACGAGTGTGTTTCTGTGTGTGTCTCTCTCTCTGTTGCTGTTGCTGTTGCTGTTTGTGTTGCCAATGAAAATGCAAATTGTTGGTAACAAATATTGGTAAAATGCGGAGGCCGTAGGAATTTGTGTGCAATGCGAGTGCGAAGCCAAGTATGCAATCCCAATCCCAATCCCAAGCCCCAGTATCCCCGAACCGAATCAATAATAATACAATAATAACCGACCGATATTACATGGATAATGGCAGCATAAACCAGTTAACAGCCGCAAGTGTCTTTGTTTAGTTTCCCCGAACCCGTGCATTAAAAGCCCACCCCCCATGATCTCCGCCTGATTCCGGAGCAGAGATTCGACGCGGAGGAGAGATTCGCCAATCCAAGGATGTCGCAGCCCCGCGCTGGCCGTGGCGGTCGTGGCGGCGGCGCTGGTGGCGCCGGCGTTGGCCGTAAAACCCCCTCCTCGCTGACCGGTCCGCCGGATGACTCGGCCACGCCCAGCGAACGTGCAACGCCCGCCAGCAAGGCCGATTCCGATCCCAAGGACGACAGCTCTAGCAATGGCGACAAGAAGGACATGGATGCATTTCCCGCCCCAAAGCCGCCCAGTGCCGGTGCCTCCATCCGGGATACGGCCAACAAGGTGCTCGGTCTGGCCATGAAAAGCGAGTGGACACCCATCGAGGCGGAGCTAAAGAAGCTGGAGAAGTATGTGGCCAATGTGGGCGAGGACGGTAACCACATACCGCTGGCCGGAGTCCATGATATGGTAAGTACTGTACTGTATGCCGGTTTATTGCAGGGTAAAACGGGGTAAAGTATACAAAAATTTGTAAAATCAATTGCTAAGGAGAGAGAGAGCGGGATTCAGTATCGAAATAAGTGCAGGAACAGGTATATTTCACTGAGAGAAAGGGGGAAATTTTATTCTAAAATTTACTGAGTAAACATTACCGTAAATGAACTAAGTGAAACTAATAACTAAATACTTCTTAAATCATTTCAAGACTACAAGAAATTAAATAAGTTATATTTTGAGAGTAATTCGAAATTTATTAATATACTTTTTATTTCTGTGAGCTTTATTTTGCTCTACCAACAGTTCTTTTCTTTAATATATAGTCAATATTTTCGGAATATACAAGTTTCTTGGGAGATTATAATCTCATTTCATTACTTTTAAATAATTATAATGATGATATTATTTTGGATACTTTCTCTATAAACTTATATGTATTTAATGCCTCCATATTCATTTTTATACAATAATTTCATATTTTAAATAGTTTTAGTATAGAGAACAGTATTATCACTTCGGCAGGAAGTGGCTTATACTCTTCAGTTAACTTTCCCTCACATTTCTTTAACAATTTTTAACCAACCTTTACTAGAGTTCTGTTAGGTTTTAATGTATTTTTCAAATTGCCAAAGATTCTTTTCTTATTATTATATGATATAATAATTTTTAAATACTAAACCACAATTGATTCAAGTGTAGTTGTCGGATGTACAAACGTCGCCCTTATCAACGTCGGCGGCATTTTCCGTTTTCTGGTTGTTTACCAGCCAAAATAACGACACAGAGCCGCGCACAGGAACTGGTGGCCAGAAACACAGAGCCAGAATTCAGAGCTCAGAGCTCAGAGCACAGAAAATAAAAGTCAGAAAGCTGAAAACAGAAAACAGTAGCAGAAAACGGCGAGCGAGCTGAGAATGTTATTTGATAGCGCGGCCCAAATGTTTGGCTGCCAAGGCGATGGCTCTTCCGCTTGGCTCGAAGGACTGCCGGGAGTCCTGCCACAAGTTGCGCTGACTACCAGCCGACCAATAAACTCATAAAACATCGAAGAATTGAAGCGCTTCGATTTCAATTTACCATAAACGGTATGAAACGGAGAAGTCGTTGACATAAAATTAGCGTTGCGACGTCGACGGAGGTCCCGCTAATGAATTGCGGGGAGACCAAAAAAAGAGAAAAATAAAGGGTTGATGGGGTTTGGGACTTACCTTGGATCCCAACTTTTGTCATAACTTCCAGGCTGTGTCTGTTCTAGCCAGACTAGACTGGGCCCGAGACGATATTTGCATAAATATAGGGCCCAGACCAGCAGAGTTGAGCTATTTTTGCTTCAGTTATTTCTGCTTATTTTTTTGGTTCTTGATAACTTTGCTCTTGATTTTGTTTTAATTGTAGGAGAAGGAGCTAGGTAATAAGAGGGTTAACTTATTTGCAATAAAGGCTAATGCTAACCTTGATAATAATTGATTCTGGTACAGAGTCAATGGGGTTAGGAAGCTAATGAAATGGATTTGCTTATTAAATTCATTTTAGTTTGGTTATAAATTCCCCTCCTTCATTTAATTTAAATACTTGTACAAGGCAGCATTTAATTACATATATTATTTAAATAATATATAGTATAATTTTGCCTTATCAATAAGGTTCCTTTGCATATAATATAATGTTTAATTATTTCCATTGATATAGCATTCATCAACGGAATTATTTTCTTATCAATGAATCAGACTGCACAATTAAGAAACCATGTAACCATTAATAAAATGTATTAAATTTATTGGCATTACTTTATACCATTTCAAAATGGAAACCCAAATTACAGAAACCAAATAGCAATACATATTATAAGCAACCAAAGAAGCTTAGCTTTAGAAAATACAGAAAACTCTCAAAAATAAACCATTAATCAGCTCTTCTATCAAAACTTCTCCACCAAAGACTTAGTTTAATAATACATTTAATTCAATATATAACCCCAACCATTTCCTCCTACAGAATACCGGCATGACGCCTCTGATGTACGCCACGAAGGACAATAAGACGGCCATAATGGATCGCATGATTGAGCTGGGCGCCGACGTGGGAGCCCGTAATAATGTAAGTCTTGGACCTGGGTTTATTCTGGGAATAATTTAAAGCTGCTTCAACTGGCCACCTGCCTGGTGGCCAAATATAGAAAACAAGCCCAGCTGTTTTGAAGCCAACTTCTGTGGCGGCAAACAAAAGCCGCTAAAATTGTGTCAAATCAATAAAAACCGCATAATTAAATCTTGAGTGTCGGTGGGTGAACCCGTACATACACCCACGTCTACGCAGGATTTGCACGCACTTAATACTTGAATACTTCAATATTGCCGGCCCTCAATGGGTCAACCGAACCGAGCTTGGCCATCGGGCTCTAGAGGGCCAAGAAAAAAAAGGGAAAGGAAAACCTCAGCACGCGAAAACCCAAAGGGGAATTTCCTAAGGGTCTCTCTGGGAATTGAAAGTGTGGATTTTAGTTTGTTTTTATAACTGAAAGTTGAAAGAAATTTAATTTGGGAAGCTTTGGAATACATTTTAGCCAAATAATTAATTCATATATTACAAATTTTGGGCAGTTTTTTGTGAAGAAGGAGGAAGGCCAGCAACTTCCATTTGCATCTTTTAATATGTAATAACAAAAGAAGGTTGCTGAATAATAGTTATACTTATCTGTTGGTATCTTTGTTTATTAAATTTCTTAGTTTTATTTTGTTCTATATTTAATACCTTTAAGCCTTCAATTTTATAACCACCGTCGAAAGCAGGTTAACAAGCGAAGATGAAAGGTCAAAGCTGATGTTTATCCTGATTTCTAAGCCCATTTGCCATCGTGATTATTGCCAATTCTCGTTTCGATGTCAGCGTTAGCGAAGGCAAATGAAAAGAGCAACCAGGCGTTTGGGCCATTAGGCCAAGTGACCAACAATTGGCCGAATTCGTTGGCCAGCGTTTTGCATGCCGCAATTACTTGGCACATTTCATTTTGGGCCTCATCGGGCTTGGGCTTTTTGGCTGACCATTCACATGTCCTTACGCCTACAAACAATATTTCTGTGGCGATAAAAATCCTTGACCTAATTACAAAATAATTGTTTCCAAAAGCCAGCTCGGCTCAGACATGGCGAATTGAATTACCAAAACAAACATAGAAAAGTTTAATTTTCTTTGGGAAATCCCCTTCTCATTTGGCTTAAAGAGTGTGTGTTTTGGGGGGAAATGTTAAAGGTAAATTTAAACATGAAGTCAAATAAAACATGAACAAGTTGGGAAATACAAGAAACTAATCATGAAAATAACAAGACAGGGAAATTTTAGGGAGGTGGTATTAAATTAAATGTTTCATCTTTTGTTATTTCTATATCATTATTTGAAAGTTTCTTTAGTCAAATCATATATATTCTTGATCAGCATCAACAGATGAATCGATTTAACTATGTCCAGCAGAAAATAAAATTTTTGACTATTTTTTCGATTTTTGCAAAAAGTGATAAAGGGTTACATCGTTAAAATTGTCAAAATTTGTCAAAAAATTGATTTTTTTTTTTTTAATTTTAAGTTGAGTAAATTTTAAGTTGAGTATGCGCATTTATTAACCTAACAAAAACTAGCATAGAACAGTTTTCCAAATCAAAATTAATGTATTTTTGGCTTAGTTATGATATTTTTAAACTTTGATTGTCGAAAAAATGTTCATATAAAAATATAGGTGACTAACTTACTTAATCTGTACCTTCATGGTAATATTTATGTTTCACACACGTTTTTCTAATGTTCAATTACATCATTTTAGTTTTCATTAACTTAAATGCTGCTCCTCTTTATTAAAATAATTACCTTTCAAGAAGCTTATCATTAGGCTTTACCTCATCTGGATCATTATTCTTATTTTGAGTTAAATGTCACGTCGTGACCAACTCAGATAATTTCACTATACAGACCGTGCCCCTTGGCCTTAATGAATTAAAAATAAAAACTCTTGGCTTTTGTGAGGGGGAAATGTTTATTGCATTTACAATTCGCGAGTTATCTAACTGTCGGGAAAAGGGCCTAAGTAATACCCACTCAACACGACACATATTATGGCCATTATAAAGGATATACGTGCATGATGTAATGACGCGGCTAATTAACATTTTTAACTTTTCAAGCTTCAAGGAGTAAATTTTTTTAGAGGCGTGTTTTTAGCAACACCTCCTTTGCAACTTAAAAGCCAATTAATCAAGCACATGACTTCGATGTACGCCCAAAGCCTGGCCCAAAACTCCATTTGACCTTTTGCAGGTGGCCAAAAACTAAACCCAAACCCAAACCCAAACCCAGAGACCTCGGACGTCGGGCTGTGACTTCCGCTACATTTTTATGGCCCTGTAATAGTAGTGGTGGCGTCATTAATATGCAATTTTAATTAAATTCAAGCGGTGTACTTCACGCAGTGACCTCTCGTTCCTACATATGAGTGGGGCGATGACAGCGTGAAATAAAATGTGTAATAAAAAGAGAGGGATTCATTTGTCAAGAGCTCTTAGAGTGCGTGAGAAAATCTATTCTCCCCCACCAACAAATTACTTAGGAAAGAGAAACAAATTAATTAACTCCATTTGTGCACATGCAAGGATGTGGAGTAATCCACAATGAGCTGCGGTAATGAGGACTTGCAATTATTCTAGAGCACTTTCCTCCACTCCCTCCCCACCATCAGGAAGGTGTGTGACATCGGCCCAAAAATGACTTCATCAAGGTGCCAAGAAATCCACGTGCATGGCACACACACTCTCCTCCTCGAGTGTGTATCTCTCTTCCCGTCTATAAACACTATAGTAAACACCCGCAAAAGAAACTGGGTCGCCCCACCTCTTGGTTTTTACTAAGGCAAAGGCAAAAATGTGCTGGAAAATTTGCGCTTCCGTTTTGGTTTTGTTTCCGGTTTTCCCCTGCCTGTACACTCACCTTACCAACAAACACAGCACGCGGCTCGAAGTCGAGTTGCGCTCAAAAGTATGCAAAACAGCGCGTGAAATATTATCTGTCTACCTTGGGGGCCCCTTCTTGAGCCAGTCCACTTTGGCCCAGAGTTTACTTTGGCTTTTCTTTCGGGCCAACGTCTTGGATTGGCTTTCTGGACATGTGTCAAAGCCGTCGACTCGAAACGGCGGGCTGTATGCAAATTAGCAGGAGTTGCGGCCAGAAATAGGCGCAAATAAACCATAGAAAAACCCACGAAATTCGCACGAAACGAAGCCCACACACACTTACTAAATGGGGGAAAATCCCCCAGGGTATTACGTGGGTCTTTAAAAAATTATGGAAATGAAAATTCTCTTTAAGATTCTTTAAGATTTTCTTTGATTGCTTTGATTACTAAACTGACATCTTATATTTGATTTAAACTCAATGTTAAATTAATATATGCCTTAAATTAGCTTAAATTATAAAAAAGATTGTTCAATTAAACCTCGGAAGAGTGAAAGGTATACTTTTTAAAAAACTTATAATTAATTAAAATGATAAAATAGATAATGGACATTACACTACAGAATTCTTATTTTAAAAAGGTTTACAATTATTGAGGTATTTCTCAGGCTTGCCTATTATACTTTATTTAAATGAAAAGCGCTATACTTTATAATTTATAAATAAAAAGACTGAACTATAATGTTTTACAGCAGTACATTAGGGAAATGGTCATTTTAAATCCTTCTGAGGCTTAACTATAATAATTTATTTCACATTAACGAGAAGTTAGTACCTTTTCAAAGGCAAGTCCATAAGACTGTTTGTGGAAAGTATTTGAAAATATAATATTTAGAAAAAATAAGTAAGTAATATCGAGGCTTTCTAAATTGTAATGAATTATTATATTTTCTCTTAGTATTCAATTCTCATTATAATTTCTATATAAAATTTAAAGAGTTCCAAGGCTTAATCATAGCCTTATGCGACTGTACACCATTTTCCACATACTTACCATTTTCCTGAACCAACCTGATGACAGGGCAAAAAGGACCTCTCCTTTTTATCCAGTTACTAGCATATATACATCGTATACATGTATACGAAACCAGTTCACTTCCGTTTTTGGCTAAAAACGATGGGGATTAGTTATAAATTAAGCCCATGGGCCGGGCTGGGCACACGTGGCGTATGTGTAACACGTTGCGTTATGGCTTATTATATAAGGCAATAAATATCGCCGCATGCTCCAATTCACATGTGAGTCACTTGTAGGGATTTTTCGAAACTTAACACTCCATGTTAGGACGTTATCTTAAAGCACTTTTCGTTTCGTTTCGTTACGTTTCGGTGATTTGTTCAGGGTTACATTTTCCACTACTACACATATATTTTTTGGTTTCTTTTTTCTTTGGGAGCATTTGATGCAGTTTTTGCATGTGAGGCTCTTGGCCATTAAGAGGGTTCCGTAAGTGAAAGTCCGCATGCAAGATTGTGGCTTAAGTAATCAAGCGGCGGCGGCCAAAAAGCCACACCTCACATGCAAATCCCACTTTGACTTTGACCCATTGAACTGACCCAGTGTGTGGCTCAGTGTGAGGGCGTGGGTTTCCTGCCAATGAATTGCAATTGATTTCTTCCATTTCTCTTCTCTCTCTCTACTTGCAGGATAATTATAATGTGCTACACATTGCGGCAATGTATTCGCGTGAGGATGTCGTCAAATTGTTGCTAACAAAACGCGGCGTGGATCCCTTCTCCACCGGTGGCGTGAGTATTCCAATGGTTCCTTATATATATTGTGTATTTCGAGGTGGGAAACAATTGCTCTAATAGTTCTGCAAGTCCTGAGTTTCAAATCTCTCCAGTTTCAAGTTCTGAGGCCGCTATCAGCCAAGATTTCTGGCCAATTTGTGGTCATTAGACGCATACTTCAGGTGGCTTAAAAATATAAAACTAAAGGTCAGAGTCAAGCAAGGAGATGCAACTTTGAGGCTCGCATGTTGCATGTGACTTTGGCGGGCACCGGCAATTAACTGGCGACAAGGTTAAGATGGTAATGTCTAGGCCCCTCTTAAAGGGACTGTTGCCACTGCCACTGCACTTTAACCAAGCTCCTCTCGACCCTTTTCAAGGTAAACAAGTTAATAGGAGGGTTCTAGTGTAGTGGTTGCCAAGAAGCTTGAAATATACTTGGAATTTTCCATCATTCGATTTTAATTTAGATTATATTTTGAGGATGAAAGAGGAAGATTCGAGGATATATAGTATTTTCTATCTTACCCAATAATAATAGTATCTTAAAGAAAATAGTAAATGGGTTTGATTCATATCCATAACCATAGTAAAGGTTAAGACTTTATTAAAAACTTAGATAATTACCTTTGAATCCCTTTGAAAGAACTGTTGATATAATACACCTTTAGACAAGATTTTATAACTTATTTTAGATTTACAGAAATGACCAAGATTTTCAAATCCATTTAAAAGTTGCAATAATATTTGCAATAAACCAAATACTGAATAAATGAGGTTTATTATATCCTATTTCTATTACTATTATGCTTTTAAAAGATTTCGAAACCCTAATTGTTTTAATGCTAAAATTTTTCAAATTAATAAGTTCTCAACAATAGTCTTAGGAAACTGATGGCACTGATGGCTGATCTTTGGTAAATGAATTTATTAACTTAAAATATGTTAATTAAACTTAGGAGAAGTTGCCTAGAAGTATTAATTTTTGATAAAAAACATTGAGGCATTTCGAATACCTAAAAGTCCTATGGGAACCCCGTAATCTGCCTAAAAATAAACGTATTTAGGATAATCACTATGTCGAGTCCTTTGCAGGCAATTATTTCGTTTTCATTTCTTCACTTTTTCGTTTTTCATGTTGCCATTAATTTGGTTTTCTTTATTCTTCCGCCGCCGCAATGGCTTCGAGACCTGGTGACTTAGGGGGCGTGAGCGTTTTGCCAAAATTACTGATGGTTATCAGAAGAGAGCTCAGCGGGCGGGTGGAAGCGAGACAGCCAGATGCCAAAAAACTTTTGTTTTAGCAACAGCCAACTTTGAAGTGTTCCGTTGGCGTGTGTGTGTGTGGGAGTGTGTGCGTGGCTAAGGGACTCCACATCCAATGGCACTAACACCTCCACATCCTCATCCAACACCTGGCCTATGTTGGCTACACCTGCTGCTGCTCCACACCCCGCGGGTGGGTTACCTCTCGCTCTCGCCCGCTGCGGGAGTCCTTTAATATGGTTCTTTTTTTCCTACTTTTTGGGGGGCTGTCAATCTGTGATATGAGCGAGAGAGAGGAGAAAAGAAAAATGACACGAAATGTGCTTATAAACGCAAAAACGAGCCACTTGCCTATTCAGTAGCAAATGGGATTTTGAAGCGAATGGGAACAACCAGTTTGCTGGCTTTCAGGTGCGAACATTAGCCTAAGGTGTCAAGAAACCACACAGAAAACTGTGATCCCAGCTAAAAAAGAGTGTATACCATCTTAATTATAGTAAAGATATATCTAATTAAAATCTCTATATTTTCAGTCGCGTTCGCAGACTGCGGTCCATTTGGTGTCGAGTCGGCAAACTGGAACTGCCACCAATATCCTGCGAGCTCTTCTTGCGGCTGCTGGCAAGGATATTCGCTTAAAAGCGGACGGCGTAAGTGTGACCATGTGTGTTTGCTAGTGTGCCAGTGTGGCTGTGTGTGTGTATGAATATGAGTATGAGTGTGTCTGTTTGCTGGAGAGCCACAAGTGTTGCCAAAAACCAATTGATGCCACGTTATCTCCTCTGGGCCATGTACAAGTTCGCTATCCGAAAAGTGAGCCCCTTTGAAGTGAAGTACTCTCGACAGCGGTGCCAGGCAGTGCCAACGTAAACAAAGACTTAATAAAAATCACCAAAAAATATATATATAAAACAGTAATAGCAACAACAATAGTAATCGAGAGGAGCTAGTAACATAAAGCAAACAAAATTTGTGGAAAAATCGATATGCAAAACCGCCCAGGGGTAAATGCATTTCTACTGGCTGGTATTCAGAAAAGGTAGAACAAAAAATATAAAATAATATTACACTGTGAAGAAAAGTTATAGGAAAGAAATCACAAAAATTGCAAACCAATTGGGGAAGGTTTCGGGAAACTAAAATTTCTATATCCTTGCAGAGAAAATCCAGCATAACTCAGGCAAAAGTGCATTAATTTTCAATCGGAAATCGTTCCAATGTTAGTTTTTATAAGGTAAACAAGTCTGCAAACCTAATTTTGAATTAAAAAAATTGAATTTTTTGTCAAATATTGACAATTTTAACAATGTTACCCCTTTTCTTTTTTTGCAAGACTTAAAAAAATGTTCGAAAATTTTATTTTTAAATTGATTCGGCTGTTGATGCTGATCAATAATATATCCTCCTATATCCTCCTTCACTGAGTTATATGTTTCACACTGACATAATAATACACTGCAAGGGTATAAAAGTTGTAGGTTTTTTTAAAATAAATAGTAATATCCTTTTCCCTCACTGTATCCCCAAGAAGCTCTTACCGCAGTCGCTAAGGTTAGCCCCGAGACGGCGTTGAATTACCTTCAGCGTCGTTGTCGTCTTTGTCTGATTAACTTGCATCGGCGGGGCGGGGCACAGAGGGAGCTCCTGCAGGAGGAGGTCCTTCTCCCTGCCTTTCCTGTCCTTCCATCGCCCACTCCTAGGGAAAATCTCAACTAAAATGCGGAACTATTTGTCGCATCACGTGCACGGGTGCAAATGCATGGGCGATATTTCCATTACGCACGCGAGGAGAGCGCATAAATTTCCACCGAATTGCCATCGAATAGAGGGACTGAATATTGAAGGGAAATGGGGGGAAAATCGTGGAAATCGGGTGCCGCCGATTGATTGTCTAGACAATGGGCATACTCTGGCTTGCGGCAAATGGCAAACAGCAACTTGATTTAAATCAATTAGAGAGAGGTGGAATGGCACTGTCAGGCGAAATTACCCGGATGAAGTATTTAGCTTTCGATGCCATTCACAGCAGTTCCGTTTCGATTCGATTCGATTCGCTTCGATTCGCTTTCCTTTTTCTACGCGCACTTAATCCCCGAATATACACATATATCCTGGCAGTTTGTATAGCGAGGGCGCTCAACTCGTTGCCAACAACAAACAACAAATAACAAATGCCGTGAAAAAAATAGTGGAAACTATACCGAAAAAAAGGGGGTCAAGTCCCTGTACAACTTGATTTACTCGCCTCAGTTAGAGGTAGATAGGGATAATGACTCCCCGTCACGCCCACCTTACCTTCCTCCTCCTCCTTCGCTGTCAGTTTCAAAGTTGGAGCCCCAAAGTTGCGAACTTGGCTAAAAATAGCGAGGAAGCGAGCGAAACATGTAGCCATTAACACTTGAGGCTCGAATTGGCTAATTGGTTATTTATGATTATGTGTGAGTCTGGTGAGTCTGCCTGTCTCTGTGACTGTGTCGTCCTTATCCTTATCTTAATTATTTCGTATGGCCCCCATAACGTATCTCTCCCATCGCTAGCGTGGCAAGATCCCATTGCTCCTGGCCGTCGAGTCGGGCAACCAGTCCATGTGCAGGGAGCTGCTGGCGGCACAAACGGCGGACCAACTAAAGGTGAGTCTATCAAGAAAACTAGATCTTTGTGTTATTTAAAGCTTTTAACACCTATAAATAGTCCAAACATAATAACAGACTTTTGCAACTTTCGATAATAAACGTTCTTGAAAACCATTAAGCGGAAAGTATATAGAACAAAAAATACCCCTAACATATAGAGTAATATATTTGGGTTTACAAATAAAAAGGATATGAGAACTCTTTAAAAAATTTCTAAAAGTTTGCCATGATTTCCTTTATTAAGTTTTCTCTTTTAAACATTTTTATTTATTTACCATACCTTTTAATTTTTCTAATCGTAACATTAAATAAACAAAGGTCCTACAGATATTGCAAAAGCTTTGAAATCTCTTCCGAAAGCGTTTAAAAGTTTTAAATAAAATATTGCAAATTTTTAATATATCTATAGTAATTTGTTATTTTTTTATCATGTTACTTTTAAAAGTACTTCTTAAATTAATTTCAAAAGCCCAGTGATAGTACTCCCTATACTCTTATCTTTCAGTTTATCAAAGAAAGGGTATTTTATGAAACTCCCATGCCTAAAATCATTTTCCCTTAATGCCGATCAAAATGTCTCCGTTCTTACAACCGGAAAATGTCAATCCTAAGAACTGTTTACTAAAAAATAATGCAAATTCCCTTGACCAACTACGCTCGGAGATCAAACCCATAAAATTTATAATCACATATCAATCAGTAAGGGTTAAAAAAAGCTACCACAAAGTGCCTATCAAAGTGACCAACTAAGTCAAGCTGTCAGAAAATGTCAACAAGACCTTTTAAGCCTTGAACTGTCCCGGAGCCCAAGCGTGTAAATAAATCAAAATATGCAAATTTACCTGCCTCGGCCTACGCACCTACTACTATGCACCTGAAAAGTGCAACAGTGCGCGACATTGGCAAAGTTTGCGCAAATTTCAGTCAAAAGTTGAAGTGCAACACATGCCAAGAGCAGTGCGTGTTGATTAAATTAACCAAACGGCGGGCCAAGGGTTCAAGTTAAAGTTAAAGTTAAAGTTGACTTTGGCCGTTGGCTGAACACGCAATCAGCCGGCAAAAACAGCCACAAACTGGGTCACCAACTCCACCAGTGAAAACGCAGTGAAAATTGGGAGGGAAATCTGATTTGCATAGACCAAGAATAAAATGTGTGTTAAGTGGAAGTGCAGTTGTACACAATACTATAAAATACGATAACTCTAGTTCATTATTTAAACTATTACAATTAATTAAATTTAATACTTCTTTAAATTAATTCAAAAAACAACCAGTCCTGGAATTATGCTGGCTTTACAAATGCAAACCAACAAGACCTTTTGCATACTTAGTAACCAATTAATTACTTTTTCAAGAAATTTGGTAAAAGAAATATTGTTTCTTCTTCAAATTTGTTTAAAATTGAGAACGTGATTTAAAATGCCCTTCGTTCTTTTTTCTTTAAGTGCATGCCATCATGCTGAACTTTCCTTCCCTTCCACTGCAGGCAACGACGGCCAATGGAGACACGGCCTTGCATTTGGCCGCCAGACGGCGGGACGTGGACATGGTCCGCATCCTGGTCGATTATGGTACCAACGTGGACACGCAGAATGGCGAGGGGCAGACGCCGCTCCACATCGCGGCCGCCGAAGGTGATGAGGCCCTACTCAAGTACTTCTATGGCGTGCGCGCCTCAGCGTCCATTGCGGACAATCAAGGTGAGTCTGCGGCTAAACTAGTCCAAGGGTAAAGCCAGAAGTTAGGAAATCAAGAAGTCAGTTTGTACGTGAAGTGTGAGTGAGCTAATGATTATAATCCCTTTACAGATCGCACTCCGATGCACTTGGCCGCCGAGAATGGGCACGCGCACGTCATCGAGATACTGGCCGACAAGTTCAAGGCGAGCATCTTCGAGCGCACCAAGGATGGCAGCACGCTGATGCACATTGCATCTCTCAATGGCCATGCTGAGTGCGCCACGATGCTCTTCAAGAAGGGAGTCTATCTCCACATGCCCAACAAGGATGGTGCGAGGAGTATCCACACTGCCGCCGCCTATGGACACACGGGTATCATCAATACCCTGTTGCAGAAGGGCGAGAAAGTGGATGTGACCACCAATGTAAGTGGGTTTATATATATGTGTCTGGAGAGTATTATAAATATATCTTACCCTTGTAGGACAACTACACGGCTCTACACATAGCCGTGGAGTCGGCCAAGCCCGCCGTTGTGGAAACCCTGCTCGGTTTTGGAGCAGATGTCCATGTTCGGGGTGGAAAACTCCGTGAAACACCACTGCACATAGCAGCTAGGGTCAAGGATGGCGATCGATGTGCTCTCATGTTGCTGAAATCGGGAGCCAGTCCCAATTTGACGACGGACGATGCACTCACTCCGGTTCATGTTGCTGCCCGCCATGGCAATCTGGCCACGCTGATGCAGCTGCTGGAAGACGAAGGCGATCCGTTGTACAAATCAAATGTGAGTAGAAATTAAAGGTAATAACCCATAGCTACTAAAAATCCCTCTCTTCAATAGACGGGTGAGACACCCCTGCACATGGCTTGCAGATCCTGTCACCCGGAGATCGTTCGTCATTTGATCGAAACGGTGAAGGAGAAACATGGTCCGGACAAGGCCACCACGTACATCAATTCGGTGAACGACGATGGCGCCACGGCGCTCCATTACACCTGCCAAATCACCAAGGAAGAGGTGAAAATCCCCGAGTCCGATAAGCAGATAGTCCGAATGCTTCTGGAGAATGGAGCAGATGTCACGCTGCAGACCAAGAATGCCTTGGAGACTGCCTTCCACTATTGCGCCGTGGCTGGTAACAATGATGTCCTGATGGAGATGATTTCGCACATGAATCCCACGGACATTCAGAAGGCAATGAACCGTCAATCCTCCGTGGGCTGGACCCCTCTGCTGATAGCCTGCCATCGAGGGCACATGGAGCTGGTCAATAATCTCCTGGCGAATCATGCTCGTGTGGATGTCTTCGATACGGAGGGCAGGTCGGCCTTGCACTTGGCAGCGGAAAGGGGTTACTTGCACGTCTGCGATGCTCTGCTGACCAATAAGGCTTTCATTAACTCCAAGTCCCGTGTGGGACGCACAGCCCTCCACCTGGCAGCGATGAATGGGTTTACGCATCTCGTGAAATTCCTCATCAAGGATCACAATGCGGTGATCGATATCCTGACGCTGCGAAAACAGACGCCGCTCCATTTGGCAGCGGCCAGCGGGCAGATGGAAGTCTGCCAGCTGCTCCTCGAGCTGGGAGCGAATATCGATGCGACGGATGATCTGGGCCAGAAGCCCATCCACGTCGCCGCCCAGAACAACTACTCTGAAGTGGCCAAACTCTTCCTGCAGCAGCATCCCAGCCTGGTGAATGCCACCAGCAAGGATGGCAATACCTGTGCCCACATTGCCGCCATGCAGGGATCCGTCAAGGTGATCGAGGAGCTGATGAAGTTCGATCGATCGGGTGTGATTTCGGCGCGGAATAAACTCACGGATGCCACACCGCTCCAGTTGGCCGCCGAGGGTGGACATGCGGATGTGGTCAAAGCTCTGGTTAGAGCCGGTGCCTCCTGCACTGAGGAGAACAAGGCAGGATTCACCGCAGTTCACTTGGCAGCACAAAATGGTCATGGACAGGTGCTGGATGTCCTAAAGAGCACGAATTCTTTAAGGATCAATAGTAAAAAGTTGGGATTGACACCACTGCATGTGGCTGCCTATTATGGCCAAGCGGATACGGTCAGAGAACTGCTGACCAGTGTTCCGGCCACTGTCAAATCGGAAACGCCAACGGGACAAACTCTATTCGGTGATTTGGGCACGGAATCTGGAATGACACCACTGCATCTGGCGGCATTTTCCGGGAACGAGAACGTGGTGCGATTGCTCCTCAACTCGGCGGGTGTTCAAGTGGATGCGGCGACCACAGAGAACGTGAGATATTGTCAATAATAACTTCCTTTATTTACACCTAACATGACCATGATTTTCAGGGCTATAATCCACTCCATTTGGCTTGCTTCGGTGGACACATGTCAGTGGTCGGTTTGCTCCTGAGTCGGTCGGCGGAACTCCTCCAGTCGCAGGATCGTAACGGCAGGACGGGCCTGCACATCGCCGCCATGCATGGCCACATCCAGATGGTGGAGATTCTGCTTGGCCAGGGCGCGGAGATCAATGCAACCGATCGGAACGGTTGGACGCCACTGCATTGTGCTGCCAAAGCCGGCCACTTGGAGGTGGTGAAGCTGCTGTGCGAGGCGGGTGCCTCTCCGAAATCGGAGACCAACTACGGCTGTGCCGCCATTTGGTTCGCGGCCTCGGAGGGACACAACGAGGTCCTGCGCTATCTCATGAACAAGGAGCATGACACCTATGGCCTCATGGAGGACAAACGATTCGTCTACAATCTGATGGTCGTCTCCAAGAATCACAATAATAAACCCATCCAGGAGTTTGTTCTCGTCTCGCCGGCACCGGTGGATACGGCTGCCAAGCTGTCCAATATCTACATTACTTTATCCACAAAGGTGAGGTGTCATTAGGGGAATAACTTATATTATTATATATATTTAAATAATTCCTGAAATCCTTAAGGGTAGTAAAGTTCTCTGGTCAATTTTCTTGATAATTTCCGTTCAAGTAAACTTGAAGAAGTTCTGTGATTTTAATTTATTGAAAGTCTTTTTATATTTTGATTATTTTTATTTATTGGTTAATGTTAAATATTTTTTAAAGACAGGTTTAAAGTTCATTTTACTTCATAATTAATTATAGAAATATATATTTTGAAGGCTGATTTTATATTTCTATAAAATAACAAGCAAGTATGAAAGGTTTTACTGCATGTTAGATTGCTTCTGTGTGCTTAGCCCAAAGAATTTTGTGGAGAATGTTTAAGCAAGCTTGTAAACGTGGCTCTATATATATTTTGTGTATAATTATATATACATTTTAATTTTAATTTTAATTTAATTTTAAAATATTTTTGAATACATATTTTAAATATTTAAATCTGAAACCATATTTTAACACTTACTTTGCCTTCTCAGGAGAAAGAACGCGCCAAGGATCTGGTTGCAGCTGGCAAACAATGTGAAACCATGGCCACAGAGCTCTTGGCCCTGGCAGCTGGCTCTGATTCGGCGGGGAAGATTCTTCAAGCCACCGATAAGAGGAATGTGGAATTTCTCGACGTCCTGATAGAGAATGAGCAAAAGGAAGTTATTGCGCATACGGTGGTGCAGCGTTACCTGCAGGTGTGTAGAATATTAAAAGAGCATTAAGAAGTGATGGAACGAATAACCTGCTTATCCTTCTATAAAGAAATTGTCTTAAATAATAAACGCACAAATAACTCCATCCGTATCTGCTCCAGGAACTCTGGCATGGCTCCCTGACCTGGGCTTCCTGGAAGATCCTCCTTCTGCTGGTGGCCTTTATTGTCTGCCCGCCTGTGTGGATTGGCTTCACCTTCCCCATGGGCCACAAGTTCAACAAGGTGCCCATCATCAAGTTTATGTCGTACCTCACCTCGCACATTTACCTCATGATCCACCTGAGTATCGTGGGCATTACGCCCATATATCCCGTCCTCCGACTGAGTTTGGTGCCCTATTGGTACGAGATTGGACTTCTGATCTGGCTGAGTGGTCTGCTGCTGTTCGAGCTGACGAATCCGTCGGATAAATCGGGATTGGGATCGATCAAGGTGCTGGTGCTGCTGCTGGGGATGGCCGGCGTGGGTGTCCACGTGGCGGCCTTTGTCTTTGTCTCCAAGGAGTATTGGCCCACGTTGGTGTACTGTCGGAATCAGTGCTTCGCACTGGCCTTCCTGCTGGCCTGCGTTCAGATCCTTGACTTTTTGTCATTCCATCATCTATTCGGACCCTGGGCCATTATCATCGGGGATCTGCTGAAGGACTTGGCCAGGTTCTTGGCCGTCTTGGCCATCTTTGTGTTTGGCTTTTCGATGCATATCGTGGCGCTGAATCAAAGTTTTGCCAACTTCTCGCCGGAGGATCTGCGCAGCTTCGAGAAGAAGAACCGAAATCGGGGATACTTCAGTGACGGTAAGTCCAAACGTTTGCTTTGCTTGATTCCAGTCTACCTTTTTACATTTTTAGTTGGAAACTATTCCATCTTGTTTTCGTTTTTCATTTCCGTTTGGAATGTTTCTTGCAAAACTTCCTCTTTTTTGAACGTTCACAATGTGTCTTGATAAGTATCTGTGTCTGCCTTGAATGAACCAAACAAAAAGCCATCTAATCTGTGTGTGCTCGATGTTTTCACGATATAAGTAAATAATAAACCAATGAACCAACAACTACAACCACATAATACAACAATTGCATGCTCAACAAGTACAAAAAACCAACCCGAAACCTCCTCCAACCTTGATGTCGTAACCCCTGAAAAAACCTTCAACCCCCGAACCCCCAAAACCGAACCCGAACACGTATTAATAATGTTCTTCCTCTGATCTTGACTCCAATCTCCGATATATATCCAAAATCCAAATGGAACAGATGACATGCCCACGCCTCGACCTCCGCCCGCGGAGAATTATGTCGATAGTCGCTTCAGCGAATTCCGGCGAAAGCACAAGGACGACCGTAAGTCTCCTCCTTCCTCCTCCACCCCCAAAGTCACCATAAAAACCACTCTGCAAAATAACCTCCTGCATTTGCATGGTCCCTATATATCATACATATATCTTGGGGCTGACCCTTAACCCCCCCAAATAACTCCGGTTCCGCCCATTTGGAATCGGATTCTGCCGTTGCCGTTGCGTTGCCGCCTTCGATGTTGTGTGCGTAAAGTTTTATTGTCGTTTGTTTTTCCAGTTGTTCTCCAGTTTGGAAAATCCACCATCCGCACACTCGCTGCTCGAAATCCCCCTCTCGCCTTGCTCAGTTCTTTCAGTTCCTTTCGTTTTGAGGCATGTTCCCGTGCGGTGAATCCTCGATGTTGTGGATCTGTGTATTAATAATAGGTATCAAAGCTAAGATTTATTTATTTAGTTATGAATTTTATTCTTTATTCTTGTATTTGTTGTCTAGTTTCTTTACTTGTGGTTTGCACATTGTTTAAATAATAATTAATAATTGATTGGTCGAAAAAATGTTTATAAAATATAAATTCAAAGAATGGTATTATAATATTAGTCGCAGCCTAAAAACCTGTGGAGGAATCATTTCCGACCCCGTAAATCCGATATATATTCTTGATCATGATAAATAGCCGAATAGAACTAGGCATGTCCAAGTCAAAAAAATTTTTCGAAATTGTATCAATTTTTTTAAAAAGATAAGGGGTTACATCGTTAAATTTATCAAAAATTGACAAAATTTTGAATTTTCTGAAATTTTAAATTGAGTATGCAGATTTATTAACCTTATAAAAAATAGCACAGAACAGGTTACCAAATTAAAATTAATGCATTTTTGACTTAGTTATGACATTTAAAAAAATTGGAATTAAATAGCGTATAAAAACTTATCGAAGTTAGCTTATTTTCTTGTATTTATTTATATTGTTTAAGCTATACAGTACATTGTATTTGTTTATAACGTTAATGTTTAAGTTATTTGTATATTTATTTTTCTATAATAATTTAATAATAGCTTTTGCGTTCCTTAATCGATTTTAGTCGATGTGTAACCCAAAAGATGCCCATTAGAACCGTGTAATTAAACCAAAAACTGCATGTTGATGTTTAACCAAGTCAAGTCAATCAATCAATCAATCAATAAATCAGCATAATTTGCCTGCCTGGGGCTTTCAGCTTGCGCCGCTTGCCCACCACCAAAAAATTCTGCACAATTGAAACAATCGAAACCGATCGAATCGAATCGAATCGAAAACGTAACCGCTACTCGAAAATCGATATTGATACCGATAGACTCGATGCTCGATATTCGTTAGACCGTGAGATTCGAACTGCTCAGATGCTCAGCTGCGAGATGCTGCTTTTGACGTGTTTAAACGCACTCACCCGCACTCTCCAACAAATCCACCAATAATATTGTAAACTTTCCAAATAATATCCAACAATATCCAAGCTCGCACAAACGCCTGTGCCAAGCCGATAAATATCCAAAATATATATTCGTATATGTGCTATATATTATATATATATATATAAATTGAGCTGCAGCATTAACCAAAAGCCCCCTCAAACGATATAAAGATTATGAGATTGAGATTGTGAGTAACGTAATGTTCGGACCCATGTTAGGACCCATGACGCCCTTTCTGGCTTTCGAGCGTCTGTTCTTCGCGGTCTTCGGACAGACGACTACCCTGGACATCAATCCCATGCGACACTTGCGTCCCGAGTGGACCGAGGTGCTCTTCAAATTTGTCTTTGGCATCTACTTGTTGGTGTCTGTGGTTGTACTCATTAACCTGCTAATTGCCATGATGTCGGATACTTATCAACGCATTCAGGTTTGTATACCCCGACTCACCACTAATCAGTATTTTCTCTCTGCTTTTCCCTCCTCTTTTCTACGCTTTGTGTTATCTGTGTGTGTGCGCTTTGAACCTCGAAAACAACCCCACGAACTGACCGAAATTGAATCAATCGAAACCGAAAATTGGGGTTGGTCGATCGGACACAACAACGTAATGAATATCGTATATATATATCGTCGCATCCACCAACCCGGAACTGGGCGTCCGTTATCTTTTTATTTTTCAAAATAATATCCACGCGCCGCCGGCCAATATCCAATGCGTGCTGTCCGGGGGTGTTTCTACCATATTCCGTATTCCGTATTCCGAATTGTATCTATATCTGTATCTGTAAATGTATCTGTATCTATAATGGGGGCACCGACGCGCAGTGCGCATGCATCCGATAAACTCATTCGAGTTGTTGTTCTTCGCCGTGTTCGGACAGACGACAACCGAGCAGACGCAAGTTGACAAAATCAAAAATGTAGCCACGCCCACTCAACCGTATTGGGTCGAGTACCTGTTCAAAATTGTCTTTGGCATTTACATGTTGGTGTCGGTGGTTGTGCTCATTAACCTGCTGATTGCCATGATGTCAGACACCTATCAACGCATCCAGGTAGTATTGCTAAAAGCGCTTCCATATAATCCCACTTATGACCTCTTATTTATTACTTACTCTATATTATTTAGCTGTAAGTTAAGTATTGCAATTAATAATGAACTCTTTTACTAATCTTCAAGTCTTTTTCAGCGGGGAAGTGGGAGAGGTGATGTTAATACTAATGTTTATAAATGTTTATACAAATGTTTGAGTAGAGTAATTGTCAGGGTTTTGTGGTCCGTTTATTCCTGAAAGTAAGCCTTTCTTTATATATCTGAAAATATAGTTAGTTATCTAAAATATAGGTCGTAAAGTCTGATCTCTCGACTATTATGTTCTTGAATAATGATACAAAGGACCTTGGCTTTATCTGTAGATCCATCAACTGCCCAGACTTGCATCTTCCAGGTTTTTTCAGGAACTTTATAATTATAATTTATCTAAGGGATACATTTGTTGCATTCCCAACAAAGCTGTATCTCGAGGATGGAAGCCGTAGTCCAAGCTAAAAACAAAGCCAAAATCCAAGCCATGTTCTAGTTTTATTCTTTTTAGAGCAGCTCAGACTTAGCTTAGTGTTGATTAGAGCCTAGAAGTGTTTCCTGCTTTTGTGACCTGTGTTGAGCAAAGGCCAAGGCCAAAAGAACGTGGCCGAAGCATGCTTTCAAAGTACATATTGTTATAAATATATAGAAATTGTTGCTGCATGTCGTCTATATTTGTACCTGTGTTTGTCCCTAGGACTTAAGTCTCCTCCTCTCTTCCGAGAGAAAGAGATATACCAATAAAGCGGCCAGGTTTTGTATGTCAATTGTGTCGTTTATTTAGTTTCAGAGAACTATAAACTTAAATAGATAAAATTGCCATCCAAAACAGGCATCTAGATTTGTATATCTCTATTATTGATTACCTGATTTTCGCAGCTCTTAAGTTACGTATATTACAAAACAAAATCTGTAAATTCCGAGGCTTTAGATCACAAAAACTCATCCCGTGTATACCTTTGTTCTTGTTCTTTCCCAATATTATCATATCATGTCATCGCGCACCTGCTAAAAAAAATGTAAACATAAAAAACCTATGAAATACTAGGCCCAATCCGACATCGAGTGGAAATTCGGCTTGTCCAAGCTTATACGCAATATGCATCGCACCACAACAGCGCCCTCGCCGCTTAATTTAGTTACCACCTGGTTTATGTGGATCGTCGAGAAGGTCAAGGTAAACTCTCAGGTGACAAAGGCCGCCTCCCAGCCGCTGTCGCTCTATATACTATATACGCTGTATACTATATACTACTACTATATCCTGTACCCTGTACCTGTATCCTGTTTCTGAATCTTGAATCTGAATCTGTTGACTCTCTGTGCAACTACCAGAACCGAGCCTGGATGGGCGTAGTTGTAGCTGACCTTTTCCCCAACCCATTTAAAGCAATTTGGCAACAAACCGCAATGAGTTCCATCACTGTGACTGCTTTAAGTGTGTTGTTTACCTGTTTACCTGTCGAAACACACCTTTAGCACCCTATAGCACTATTTCTTGATTTCCAAAAATGCATTTAGTGATCGAAATAAGATGAAGGGATTTCTTTTTAAATGAAAGGATAGATTCACTTTTATTTATGGTCTTTATTTAACTTTTAAAGCGTGTTAATTTATTGTTTTCCATTCTAATTTTGTAAACACATATTATAGTTTTAGTCAGTAGCGTTAAAACCTGTGAAAAATTTAATTTAGTATGCAGTTTTATGAACCGAATAAAAATTAACATAGGAACGCTTTCCGAATATGAAGTTTTCCAGATTTTATTAATCGAAAAATTGTCTTTTAAACATATGGATTCGTGAATGAATGAATATTTCCCTTCGATCTTTAAATGCATTTGTACACTCAATGTCCTGCACTTGGCACCCAACTTGCTTTCGATGTGATTACCAATATGCTGACTGCGTTTATGTTGTGTCTCTTGTCTTGTATGTGATCTATGTCCTGTGTCTAATGCGCCTTGATATAACCCACAAAAATCTGCAAACCTGCAAATCCTGCAACAATCCTGCAATCCTCGCCAAATATCAGGCACGCATGAAGAAAAAGAAGCGTCCAAGTCTGGTTCAGATGATGGGAATACGTCAGGCCAGTCCGCGAACGAAAGCCGGGGCCAAATGGCTATCGAAGATCAAGAAAGGTGAGACAAGTATGTATCGCTGCTGGGCTAAGCCAGGCCAAGACCCCGTGTATCCTGGGAAAAGAAATAAACCCATTCGAGGGTTTGGTAGCTAACAGCGTGTCAGCCCAAGTGTAACTCTCTGTCTTCCATACAGTCTGTCTTGCTTTCCTCTTTCTCTACTACTTTCTCTATTACTCTCTACTTTCTCTGTACTCTGACTACAAAATTGGCTCGCTCTAGCTCCAAATTCTTTCCTTTCGACTATCGTCTTTACTGTATTTTCATTGAGAGAAAACGCCAGATGATTGCGGGAAAACTACACAAGTTTCCTGATAGTATATATACCTTCTGTGAATTTATGAAATAATGTAGCTATCATCAGGCGATTTTATCTCAGTGGATCTTCTTGGAATAAAGTAATCCAAACTAACGATATTTTCGTCCTAAAATTCCCAGACTCGGTGGCTCTGTCTCAGGTTCATCTGTCGCCGCTGGGATCACAGGCCAGCTTCTCGCAGGCCAATCAGAATCGCATCGAGAACGTGGCCGACTGGGAGGCGATCGCCAAGAAGTATCGGGCTCTGGTGGGCGACGAGGAGGGTGGTTCGCTCAAGGACTCGGATGCGGAGAGCGGTTCCCAGGAGGGCAGCGGCGGTGGGCAACAGCCGCCGGCACAGGTGGGCAGAAGAGCCGCCATCAAGGCCGCCGCAAAGGACACCAAGAAATAAATCAGAACACACACCCGACACCGGCACACACACACTCTCTCTCCACTCTCTGCGTTTTTGGATTGGCTAATTAATCACGTTTCGATTGCAGGTCTAAGCTTCAACCTCTTCAACTTCTCTTCCAACTATCCAACTATCCTGAACTCTCCTCCTCTCTCTTCTCTTCTACTCGACTATCCCAGAGTCTGTCCTTCTGTACTCCTAAGTCTAAGTCTAAGTCTAGATCTAAGCTCTCACTTTCGGGAATGTCTCTCTTCTCCATTCAAGGAGGTCCTTCCGAAATCCTTAAGCTAAGCCAGCACTTCCTAAACTAATTTTAGCTAGAATATTGAAATTGTTTTGGGTATCTTTCGATATTTATTTTGATATTTCCCATTTTAAGCGTGTCGGCGATAACAGATTTACGATAAACGAAACAACAAAACAAGTTTTCCATATTTGAGATTTTTGAAATAAATATAACGAAAAGTTAATGCAGTCGCCAGTTTTGGAACTGTTACTTTTTGTCTTACATTTTTTTAACCAAACTCCTAGCCCTTTTTGTATTAAGCTGACAACTCCCGCGTCTACCGGATCGACCATAGGCTTAATTATGATTATATATTGTAGCTTTTAAGTCTTTAACCATAGCTTCAAAAAGGTTTTATAAAAAAAGGAATACATATCGCATGATCTCATCGTTCCCCGGGTAAACTTTGTCGTCCAGCAACTACATCCAATTTATTTACTAAGCTTGATTAATTTTTATAAGAATTGTATGCCTAAAAGAATTGTTAATTGTACTTGAATGTAAATAAATAAGACATATTTGAAAAAAAAACTTATAGATTAACTTAATTGTTTAGGAAATAAAGTGAGGATTACAAACTTTACACTCTTTGGTATTATTTTCAAAGCAAATAAGAAAAAACAACGTGAACAATTTATATAAGAATATGAAGTCTTCTTTTTAACATTTATCACATTGAAATGAAGGCTTTTTTAACGATTATACTAATATTTTAATATCAACGAAATTAAGGAGAAATTACTTCTCTAGCTTAAAAATTATACATTCTTTTCTGGAAGTGATCAATAATCATCAGTGGGAATCAAGTAATCATCAATTACCTTCAAGGTTCGGACTGAAAGTGCAATCCCATTTTTTAATCGATATTAACTATATATTTATATGCAAATTTTACTACAAATCGAAGTGTAAAAAAGTTACAACTAAGCCAAAATGCATTAATTTCAATTCGGAAAGCGCTCGCATGTTTTAGCAGGTAATAAAACTGCCTACTCCATTTAAAATGTGAATTTTGGGCCGATTTTTGCAAATTTTAATGATGTAACCCCTTTCCTAATTTCCGAAAAATGGGACATTTCAGAAAAAAATTTTTTTCGGCCGGATAAAGCTTAAAAGATTCCCCTGTTGATGCTGATCAAGAATATGTATGATTTATAGGCTCGGAAATGACTCCTTCACTTTCTTTTAAGCTTCGGACTGAAAGTGAAATCCCATTTTTTAGTCGTTATTAACAATATTTTTATATGCAAATTTTAGTACAAATCAAAGTGTAAAAATGTCATAACTAAGAAAAAATGCATTAATTTCAATTCGGAAAGCGTTCGTATGTTAATTTTAGCAGGCTAATAAAACTGCATTCTCCATTTAAAACGCGAATTTTTGGCCGATTTTTGCAAATTTTAATGATGTAACCCCTTTCCTAATTTCCGAAAAATGGGAAATTTCAGAAAAAAATTTTTTCGGCCGGATAAAGCTTAAAAGATTCCCCAGTTGATGCTGATCAAGAATATGTATGATTTATAGGCTCGGAAATGACTCCTTCACTTTCTTTTAAGCTTCGGACTGAAAGTGAAATCCCATTTTTTAGTCGTTATTAACAATTTTTATATGCAAATTTTAGTACAAATCAAAGTGTAAAAATGTCATAACTAAGCCAAAAATGCATTAATTTCAATTCGGAAAGCGTTCGTATGTTAATTTTTAGCAGGCTAATAAAACTGCATACTCCATTTAAAACGTGAATTTTTGGCCGATTTTTGCAAACTTTAATGATGTAACCCCTTTCCTAATTTCCGAAAAATGAGAAATTTCAGAAAAAAATTTTTTTCGGTCGGATAAAGCTTAAAAGATTCCCTGTTCATGCTGATCAAGAATATATATGATTTAAAGGCTTGGAAATGACTCCTTCACTTTCTTTAAGCTTCGGACTGAAAGTGAAATCCCATTTTTAATCGTTATTAAAAATATTTTTATATGCAAATTTTAGTACAAATCAAAGTGTAAAAATGTCATAACTAAGCCAAAAATGCATTAATTTCAATTCGGAAAGCGTTCGTAAGTTAATTTTTAGCAGGCTAATAAAACTGCATACTCCATTTAAAACGTGAATTTTTGGCCGATTTTTGCAAATTTTAATGATGTAACCCCTTTCCTCATTTCCGAAAAATGGGAAATTTCAGAAAAAATTTTTTTCGGCCGCATAAAGCTTAAAAGATTCCCCTGTTCATGCTGATCAAGAATATATATGATTTATAGGCTTGGAAATGACTCCTTCACTTTCTTTTAAGCTTCGGACTGAAAGTGAAATCCCATTTTTTAATCGTTATTAAAATATTTTTATATGCAAATTTTAGTACAAATCAAAGTGTAAAAATGTCATAGCTAAGACAAAAATGCATTAATTTCAATTCGGAAAACGTTCGTATGTTAATTTTCAGCAGGCTAATAAAACTGCATACTCCATTTAAAACGTGAATTTTTGGCCGATTTTGCAAATTTTAATAACCCCTTTCCTAATTTCCGAAAAATGGGAAATTTCAGAAAAAAATTTTTTTCGGCCGGATAAAGCTGAAAAGGTTCCCCTGTTTATGCTGATCAAGAATATATATGATTTATAGGCTTGGAAATGACTCCTTCACTTTCTTTTAAGCTTCGGACTGAAAGTGAAATCCCATTTTTTAATCGTTATTAAAATATTTTTATATGCAAATTTTAGTACAAATCAAAGTGTAAAAATGTCATAACTAAGCCAAAAATGCATTAATTTCAATTCGGAAAGCGTTCGTATGTTAATTTTAGCAGGCTAATAAAACTGCATACTCCATTTAAAACGTGAATTTTTGGCCGATTTTTGCAAATTTTAATGATGTAACCCCTTTCCTAATTTCCGAAAAATGGGAAATTTCAGAAAAAAATTTTTTTCGGCCGCATAAAGCTTAAAAGATTCCCCTGTTGATGCTGATCAAGAATATGTATGATTTATAGGCTCGGAAATGACTCCTTCACTTTCTTTTAAGCTTCGGACTGAAAGTGAAATCCCATTTTTTAGTCGTTATTAACAATATTTTATATGCAAATTTTAGTACAAATCAAAGTGTAAAAATGTCATAACTAAGCCAAAAATGCATTAATTTCAATTCGGAAAGCGTTCGTATGTTAATTTTTAGCAGGCTAATAAAACTGCATACTCCATTTAAAACGTGAATTTTTGGCCGATTTTTGCAAATTTTAATGATGTAACCCCTTTCCTAATTTCCGAAAATGAGAAATTTCAGAAACAAATTTTTTTCGGTCGGATAAAGCTTAAAAGATTCCCCTGTTCATGCTGATCAAGAATATGTATGATTTATAGGCTCGGAAATGACTCCTTCACTTTCTTTTAAGCTTCGGACTGAAAGTGAAATCCATTTTTTAGTCGTTATTAACAATATTTTTATATGCAAATTTTAGTACAAATCAAAGTGTAAAAATGTCATAACTAAGCCAAAAATGCATTAATTTCAATTCGGAAAGCGTTCGTATGTTATTTTAGCAGGCTAATAAAACTGCATACTCCATTTAAAACGTGAATTTTTGGCCGATTTTTGCAAACTTTAATGATGTAACCCTTTCCTAATTTCCGAAAAATGGGAAACTTCAGAAAAAATTTTGACTCCTTCACTTTCTTTTAAGCTTCGGACTGAAAGTGAAATCCCATTTTTAGTCGTTATAACAATATTTTTATATGCAAATTTTAGTACAAATCAAAGTGTAAAATGTCATAACTAAGCCAAAAATGCATTAATTTCAATTCGGAAAGCGTTCGTATGTTAATTTTAGCAGGCTAATAAAACTGCATACTCCATTTAAAACGTGAATTTTTGGCCGATTTTTGCAAATTTTAATGATGTAACCCTTTCCTAATTCCGAAAAATGGGAAATTTCAGAAAAAAATTTTTTTCGGCCGATAAAGCTTAAAAGATTCCCCTGTTATGCTGATCAAGAATATTATGATTTATAGGCTGGAAATGACTCCTTCACTTTCTTTTAAGCTTCGGACTGAAAGTGAAATCCCATTTTTTAATCGTTATTAAAATATTTTTATATGCAAATTTTAGTACAAATCAAAGTGTAAAAATGTCATAACTAAGCAAAAATGCATTAATTTCAATTCGGAAAGCGTTCGTATGTTAATTTTTAGCAGGCTAATAAAACTGCATACTCCATTTAAAACGTGAATTTTTGGCCGATTTTTGCAAATTTTAATGATGTAACCCCTTTCCTAATTTCCGAAAAATGGGAAATTTCAGAAAAAATTTTTTTTCGGCCGGATAAAGCTTAAAAGATTCCCCTGTTGATGCTGATCAAGAATATATATGATTTATAGGCTCGGAAATGACTCCTTCACTTTCTTTTAAGCTTCGGACTGAAAGTAAATCCCATTTTTTAGTCGTTATTAACAATATTTTTATATGCAAATTTTAGTACAAATCAAAGTGTAAAAATGTCATAACTAAGCCAAAATGCATTAATTTCAATTCGGAAAGCGTTCGTAGTTAATTTTTAGCAGGCTAATAAAACTGCATACTCCATTTAAAACGTGAATTTTTGGCCGATTTTTGCAAATTTTAATGATGTAACCCCTTTCCTAATTTCCGAAAAATGGGAAATTTCAGAAAAAATTTTTTTCGGTCGGATAAAGCTTAAAAGATTCCCCTGTTGATGCTGATCAAGAATATTATGATTTATAGGCTCGGAAATGACTCCTTCACTTTCTTTTAAGCTTCGGACTGAAAGTGAAATCCCATTTTTTAGTCGTTATTAACAATATTTTTATATGCAAATTTTAGTACAAATCAAAGTGTAAAAATGTCATAACTAAGCCAAAAATGCATTAATTTCAATTCGGAAAGCGTTCGTATGTTAATTTTTAGCAGGCTAATAAAACTGCATACTCCATTTAAAACGTGAATTTTTGGCCGATTTTTGCAAATTTTAATGATGTAACCCCTTTCCTAATTTCCGAAAAATGGGAAATTTCAGAAAAAAATTTTTTTCGGTCGATAAAGCTTAAAAGATTCCCCTGTTGATGCTGATCAAGAATATGTATGATTTATAGGCTCGGAAATGACTCCTTCACTTTCTTTTAAGCTTCGGACTGAAAGTGAAATCCCATTTTTAGTCGTTATTAACAATATTTTTATATGCAAATTTTAGTACAAATCAAAGTGTAAAAATGTCATAACTAAGCCAAAAATGCATTAATTTCAATTCGGAAAGCGTTCGTATGTTAATTTTTAGCAGGCTAATAAAACTGCATACTCCATTTAAAACGTGAATTTTTGGCCGATTTTTGCAAATTTTAATGATGTAACCCCTTTCCTAATTTCCGAAAAATGGGAAATTTCAGAAAAAATTTTTTTCGGCCGATAAAGCTTAAAAGATTCCCCTGTTGATGCTGATCAAGAATAT